GACGTAGTGCTTTTATTTTGAAAGAGACTGTATCAAACTGTACATTTCCTGTGAAAACAGAAGTGTATTTTGAAAACAGACAATGCATGTAACAGGCTGAAGTTGACACGGCGTCCCAGAACGTCAACAACCAACACACCCAGGGTACCTTGGACGTCATATGTGGACGTGGAAAGTCCATGACCAAACGTGGACATGTGACGAGGTCACAGGATGTGGTCACAGAACACAGGACTATCCCCGGGAGACGAGTGTTCTTTGAGTCATTTTAAGGTACTTAAGTTAAGGTACTCAGTTTCTTTCCCAAAACATAACCTCTGTAATTTTGCTTGCCAAAACCTGACTTTGGTAATTTTACGCTAAATGTCATTTGTGGGGCACGAATTTGTACGATATTATATGAACTGTTGTATGAGCATACGTTGTATAATAATTTTTCTACGCACTTTCTGGACTTCATGCAAAACTGTGGTTTCTGTGGGGAGATCAGATCCTTTGGCTCTTTCAGAAACATGTGCATTATCTTCTGCGCCACACTGTAAGAACTACATTGGCTGATTTACCAGTGAAAAGTTAAAACTGATTTAAGATGGCTGTTACACATAAAGCTGTTGCTTTAATGACTTTGTTTCAGTGTGACTGTTGAAACAAAGGTTCCAGTTTATGTCACCCAGACACCTCTAAAGCTTTTCAGTGCTGACGGGGCAGTTACACCTTTTACATTTCTTAACACACGGTTCTGCAAAACTTCTCTATGTTTCATATCAACATTTTTAAAGTGATGCAGTATCTCAGCTGACTGTGTCATCAGGAGGTGGAGGGGATGGTGGATGGTGCGACGCCTGCCGAGCTGCAGACACTGTTCAACACCAACGCACAACTGAACCAGCTGATTTTTAACAAGACATCGCTGCGTTTAGATTTTTAGCCAGTAAACATGGATTTTCTTAGCGACCTGTCACCATGTTTCCAGACGGGATGGTGCGACAGGAAGCAGCTGTTTGTTACAGAGACATCGTTGGTGTTCCTGCTGCAATAGTGCAAAGAAAAGCGCGTTTTTGTTTCTGAGACATTGCTGGGTTTCCACGGGGACAGTGCCCCAGAACAAGGTATTTTAAGCCAAAACGTAGTCTTTCCAAACCATATCCAGATGGTTTTTGTGCCTAAACGTAACCACACATTAACCACAGAGTCGCTGAAAGTTTCAACGTATCAGTTACATAATAACGTATAGGGCTGACCTTCGAATCCATTTATGGACATTCAAAGCTTCGGAGCTCAGAACGAATTTAATTCGAAGCATTCAACGACGGGGGAGGGGGGATTTTTAAAAAAAATTATGGCGTATAAAACGTAGTTTCTTCCAACACTAGAATTAAGATAAAAATATTCACAAACGAAAAAACACTAATGGTCGGTGATAAGTAGTGTTTAACTTTTGATTGAACACTAAATTAAAACCCTTGGCGCACACTGCAGCACAATCAAACAGATGCGCAACTCATAGCATCAGAAGTGTCTCTGACACCAGACTCAGAGCGGACCGGTGGAACTGGAAAATGCATATTAGGTCTACTAGTTACTACTAGTTACTACCTACGTTTTTCAAGTGATTTCCCAAATTTGTTGTTGAGTTGTGATTTGCCAATTGCTTTTGGCAAATCTGGCACTCTGCTTTCTGGGGGTTGTCGGGGCATATTTTAAAGTGCAACCACACATCTGATGACCTCTTGGACATGTCTGCAGCTCTGAGTGCGCTCGTTGTCAGTATCGGACTGGTGGGGTTAGTGTTGTGTTTAAAGCCTCCTCCAAAAAAACGAAAAATAAAGCGCCGAAGCTTCGATTTTTTTTTTCACAATCAAATCCCGTGCCATCGAATGAAGCTTCAAATTTTTTGGGTCAGCCCTAATAACGTACACATGTGACGTCTCCATGGTTTGCAAAAACATACGATGCCAACATTTATTCTGGTGATTGGGTCGCTCAACAAGCTTTGGCCAGATTGCCACTAACCTTCCTGCAGATAGTCACCATTTCCAGAGGATTATTCTGGATTACTTCGGTGACCCCGACCACATGTACAAAGAAATATGAAACTCTGATGCATTCATGCTCCATAGGGAATAAAATCTTTGGCATTTAAGGTATCAAAAGACCTTTCCTTTACCAATAACCACAAGTTTTAGGTTTACGAGGCTTCAAAGGGTTCAGTCACATCACCGATTATAACAGCAAAATTTCGGACAGGTGTCAGCTGAGTTCAGTAGACTCTCCGTGATCAGATCTGTTCACAAAGTAAATAAATTTGGTGTTTTCATGTGACGATCAACGAGATGACCTTTGACACAAGAATTTTTACTGTTGTCCAGCTGCAAACGTGACGCCTGTGACGGCGCCTAACGAAGACTCAAACACTGAGGAGGTTATTAGCAGAGTCACGCCTCCTAATTTTACATAAGCACACCAGGACAGCTTTCCTCTTTGTGTTCGTTTAACCTCGAATGTCGGCAAGCTGATGCCCGTTGCCGATACTGGCATCTCACAGATGTCACTATGTTCTGAAAGATAATTTATGTTAACCTTACAGGCCACCGTACCTCAAGGCGGTCAGTGTGCAGGACGATGAATCTGGTGGCGTTGACGCACTCCAGCTCGATGCTGACCTCGCCAGAGAAGGTGAAGTTGTCCATGTAGACGGCGAGCCGCAGGTCGTAGTGTCGCGGCCTCAGAGACCCCGGCAGCCTCGAGTTCCTCCACGGCTGGACCGCCTCGTCGTCCCCTCTCTCCCCCGTCCTCTCCCCTCTGCTCCCGTTCAACTTCGATGACCCTCCGGTGCCTCGCGAGCCCGACTCCCCCATTGCTCCGTCCCGATCTCGTCCGCCACACTCCTCAAAGCGGACGCTGAGCACCACAGCCACCGCCGTGACGATGATGAGGGTGAGGATGGAGAGGGCGAAGCCCAGCACCAGGCGCTTGTGTACCGTGATGTGGCGCTCGGTGGTTCGAGGCCGGACCACCACTGACTCTGCCCACTGGTCCGAGAGGCCGCGGCCATTCCGCATGGCGCCCGGGCTGCTGTCGTTTAGTCCCATTGATCTGAAAGTGTCACTCTAACGGCAAAGAAACGTCCTCACGCTGCAGGAAAACTCTCATCTATGCTCAGCTCAGACGAGTCAGAAAGTCTTCAGTCCATCAGACCGCCCGTCTCTGCAGCTCAAACTCCTGCAGTTATATTTCTGAGAGCCTGACCTCTGACCCCGGCGCCGCTGGACCGTTATGAACGTCCTTCAGCTCAGGCTCGAGGTGGAAAATCAACACCGCGGCACGTCTTACATTTCAGACAAACAAAACTGACAAACCAGAAAGGGATGAGATGGTCGTGTGCGTTTTGGTTTTGCGGTGAAGGGGAAAGAAAAAAAATCAATGCTGCATGGCTCGATTACAAGTTCTCGAGGCGGCTGAGGAGGAGGAGGAGGAGGAGGAGGAGGAGGAGGAGGAGGAGGAGGTATGCTGTTGAGGATGTGGCTATACAGTGAGCGTACCATCCATAGGCTTTCACTGGGAATCAGCTGGGTAAGCTCAACTCCAAAGCAGCACAGACGGCGGTGAACAAAGCCTCGCTCAGATCCTGTTCGCTCACAAACAACCTGAAGTCACAGATTTATTAAAATCGCTCTCAGATGATGGAAATCCTCATTTTGAGCTTCACAAACAGCCTCTTGATCCGAACGCATCCCAGCAACCAAAAACCAACAGAGGAGGTTTAAAGCAGCAGGTTATTTTCTCCGGGTTGTTATAAAGTTAATTTCTTCTGAGTTAAAGCTCCTCCAGACCTGCAATAAAGCATAAATAAACCCCGAGCAGACTATTATGGGATTACTATGATGACACAGAGGGAGATCAAAGTGCCTCGCAGAACATTAAGGTCAGTGTTAGGAGGCACGGATGAACTGCGAGGATCTCCACGATTATTAAGAGCAGAGGCTCGAACCCAGATCAGCAACTCATGAGCCGGGAGTTTGTGTTTCTGTATTAATAAATGTCAAGAAATTGAAAGTTTTAGTTACTTCAGTGAAAAAATTCACCACATTTTTTTATTTTTTTTGTCCATATTTTGTGATAAAATGAAGAATTTTCCAAATGTGCTTTTAAGAATTTTGTTAAATTTGATTTTTGAAGAGTTGAAATTTGAGATTTTCGCTCAGTTTGAGGCTGAAATGAGCTTTTTGTTTCTTTATCTGCAGAAATATTTGTGCAATAACTGTCTCTTTGCAGCCCGGGTCTATGTCTCTGCCTGTCTCCCTGCAGTCCGGGTCTATGTCTCTGCCTGTCTCCCTGCAGTCCGGGTCTGTCTCCCTGCAGCCCGGGTCTGTCTCCCTGCAGCCCGGGTCTATGTCTCTGCCTGTCTCCCTGCAGTCCGGGTCTATGTCTCCGCCTGTCTCCCTGCAGCCCGGGTCTGTCTCCCTGCAGCCCGGGTCTGTCTCCCTGCAGCCCGGCTCTATGTCTCCCTGCCTGTGTCTCTCTGGAGGGGGTTAAGTGGATAATTTACGGCCGGCATGTGGCTTTATTTCAGCGTGCAGGAGATGATTCACTCGGCTCCTCCGCCGGGTCTAAACGATCCTGCTCCACAACTCGTGAGTGCTGATGGATGAAGAATGGATTCGGGATGATTGATCCCCGGGAATGTATCGATCCGGTGGATTCCAATCGGACGCAGCAGAAACGGGAGAAAGAGGCGGCTTTTATCCGGTAACAGAATCCACCAATCAATGCATTCCGTTAATGAGATCGGTGTGGTGGTAATGATGAGCCTTATCCGGTCGTTAACGGTCCTCGAGGACGTCGGATGCAGCCGGTAAACATCCCGATCAACTCCTCTGCTGCTCCGGTAACTTCTCCTCTCCGGTCCCCGGTGGGAGGCGGTGAGCCCCGGGTCCGTCTCTACCGGCGCTCGGTCCCTTGGGTTCAGGGGAGCCCGGTGAGAGAGAGACTTCTTTCAGCCCCGTTATCTCCCTCCGTTAACTCCACCTGCTTTATTATCACCGGGGGAGGGGGCCGGGGTTACCGTCGGTCAGCGGTCCAGCCGGGACTGTCCGGGGATCCGTTACACTAACGCCAGAGCTCCGTTAAAACACCTCAGATGTCAAACACAAAGAAATCCGTGATGGAGTTAAAATCCGTTATTGATCCGTTAACCCACCGGGAATCCGTTACAACACACTCCTGGGCTCGTTTTTAACGTCACAACAGTTTAAACAGCGGGAATCCGGTGAGGAGACAAATGCCAACCGGGGGCCCCTCCGCTCACACACACCGGAGCTCAGTTTCAGCACCGGGGACCGTTAGAGAGATCCTTGAAAGCGCCGTCAGTGATCCGTTAAATACACAATTAATCCCTCCAGAAAACACCGGATCCGTTTCCACGGAGTCCAAAGTAGAAGCAAACCGTGTCAGGCGGATTATCCCGGGTTAACGGCGGGCACGGGCCCCTCCGGTGCTCCGTTATTAAACCGGATCCTCCTCAACTTTTTAGCCCGCGGAGAGACGCCGCTGCTGCCGCTGCTCTCTCCCTCCGCTCCCGGTGCTGATGAAGATGATGATGATGAAGGTCTCCGGTTAGCATCCCTCCATCCATCCAGCAGGAGGAGGAGGAGGACGGTGATGGTGGTGGTGATGGTGGTGAGGAGGAGGAAGAGTCTCGTGCCGCCTGTTCAGCAGCAGTGAGTCCGCTCGCGGTGCGCGTTTGTGTTTGAGCACGAGCTGCTGCTCCGACCGAGAGGCACGCGCTCACTGAGAGAGAGAGAGAGAGAGAGAGAGAGAGAGAGAGAGAGAGAGAGACAGAGAGAGAGACAGAGACAGAGACAGAGAGACAGAGAGAGACAGTCCTTGTAACTCACAACCTACATTTTTCTTTATTCATTTTTTTTTCTATATTATATATTGGTGTATTGTATTGTAGATTGGTGTATTTTGTATTATATATCATATATTTAATCTTTTTTTTTTATATAGTTTTCTGACTTACTTTTATTATTGTACTTTATTTGTAAATTTTTAATGTCTTTGGCAATATTGTTAATCTACAGTCATGCCAATAAAGCTTATTGAAATTGAAA